GTGATGGGCACAGCTATGTCTGCCGTGTGCGCCACCACAGCCTGGGCACCCGCAGCCTTCTCATCCCATGGGGTAGGTGCCACCCGTGGGGGATGGGGTGCAGGCTGCAGATAGCAGCCCCGAGCCCTGTGAGGGTGGCAGCTCCTGACTGGCGCTGTGACCCTCACACAGTTGCCCTCTTCTCTCCCTGTCCCAGAAAACCACAGTGCAGCTCCAACCATAAGTATCACCATTGCACTGCTGGTTCTTGTGGCCATAGCCTTTGCTGGGGGTTTTTGGTGGTGGAAGCGCAGGTGAGCTCTCCCTCCCATCCTCCTGCTGTAAGATTTATGGGCATATAGGTCGGTTCAGGGGTTGCAGCAGCTCTGTAGGGGTGAAGTCCCTGACTGTCACCACAGCTCACACATAGTCTTTGCAGGAAAGGTAACGAGGCTACATGGGAGACCCAGGAATTCATCATTTGAGGCCTTGCTGCCCACACAGCAACAGCTGCTTGCTCTCCGTTCTTACTTTGTGCCCCACCCCTGACCCATCAGCACCAACACGATTTTGTTCTGGAAAACAACTGCATTAAACAGCTATGAACTTCTTCTGATACATATGGTTCCTGTGTCTCTCACCCTTCTTCCCTCCTCAGGAGCTCTTCTCAGGAAACTCCTCTGTGCACTACAGATACTCCCTATTGCAGGCAGATGCTCTTCCTTTTCCTGGACTGTGGTTTGTCTCCATCTGGCATGTCAGGAGAAGCCAGTCCTCTGACAGCCCCTTCCACATCTCCCCATGGCCAGTGTCTATTCCTGACAGGGCAGTCACAACCCAAGGCCAGACCACTGTGCGGTTCCTGAGTGAGATGTGTGATGGTGCAGGCCACAAATCAGGGATAGGTGGAGAGATGTGAGCTCTTCACTGGCGAGACAAGGGAAGGGAGGAACTAAGTAACACCCCTGACATCCCTGACACATTTTGAGCACACTGAGCTGCTTCATTTCCAGGGCTGACCTCACCCTTTAGATCAGGATCTCTTCCACTTCTGACTCCTGCCCCCATGCTTCCTTCCTGTCGCTGTAAAAGCTGGAAAGATGAGGGATTGTCACCCTTCCACTATGCCTGAGAGCTTTGAAAGAGCCATGCAGAGGCTCTGGGAGACTCTGAGCAACACACCCCACAGCAGAATGTGATTGTCATCAGTTCATTTTGCATTGTCCATTGGTCCTTCCTCCTCACCCTGCTCCAGTGTGAAGTCCCACTTACAGGAGACAGTGTTCTACAAATGTCTCCATCATGGGTCCTTTCTGTGGGCTGCAGTTCTTCACAACTGCTCCAGCATGGGTCCTTTCTATGGGGTCACTCCTTCAGGAACGGGCTGCTCCAGTGCGGATTGCCCTCAGGGTCACAAGTTCTGCCAGGAAGCTGCTCCAGCACAGTGTCTCCATAGCGTCACAGTCTCTCTCAGGCATACCCACCATCTACGCCATTGGACTCCTCCAAACGCTGCAGGTGGATCTCTGCAGGTGTGGACCTTCATGTGCTGCTGCAGGACAGCTGCTTCCCCAAGGTGTTCACCACAGGCTGCTCGGGGACCATCTCTGCTCAGCTGCCTGGAGCCAGCAGGGTCCCTGCCGGGCCGCTGCCTAGCGAGCTGCCAATGGTGACCGGACTGCACCTGACGTCACCTGGTGCCCGGTAGATCGCCGGCGCCTCTGCCCCTCCCGCCTCACGCTTCCATTGGCTATGCCACGGCCCGCTCGCCAATGCCATTCGTGCTCCTCTTACGTCACCGGTCACCGGGCGAGCGTGGGACAAGCCCGGCGGGGAGGTGGGGCTGCCCCGGACCCCCAGTCCTTGCCCTCGGCCCCTCCAGCCCCGGGCCTGAGCTTCCAAGCGCTCGCTGTGGCTTGCTGCCGATTCCGCATATTCCCGGGTCCAATCCTCAGCCACCCCCAGCACCGAAGAGCCGGGGATGAGCCCAAGGCGTTTCTCACCTCAGCTCCCGATTTCAAGATAAAGGCAAAAAGCCAGGAAGATGTTTGCAATTGTCAGGCCTGCTTAAAAACCCAAAGCCATGCTCCATCCCCTGTCTCGGGGAGCCAGAGAGACATGACATAGTGAAATAATCCAACCATTTGGTCCAGAATGATTAGAGCACTGTGGGCCTCATTGTCATGACATTGTTTCCCTCTTTATCTCTTTCTGTGTGCACATACCTATATGTATGAATACAAAGCATGTGTATAAAACTGCTGAAAATTTAAACTTCTAAATTTCATACCAAAGCAATAAAATCTCCCTGTTTGGGTGGGTTATCCTGCAATTCCCACCTCTTTTGAGAAACATTTCTTGCTAGTGGATATGCCAGGCAGAAATCTGAGACACCAAGGTACTATCATCTTTGGGGACTGACACCATCAAAACTGCTTCTAATGAGCTCCAGGGTAAAGCCTTTATTGTAAAATAAATTAATTGATGGATATTATAAACTGAAGAGATTAAAGCTTACCTGATCTGTGATCCTTTTATCCCTCATTCAAACAGGGTCTCTGGATGCTTTCAAAACCTTCTCACTAATACCAGTTTATTTGCAGCTGGCTGCAAAGCAGGGACAAACTTCTCAGGGGTCAGAAGGTGCCTTTGAACGGATATTTAAATTCTGATTCAGCCATACCTTATAGCCCTACTGATGACCTTGAGTAAGAACAAGGCCTATACAGGCCTATAATGATCTAAAACCCTATAATGATCAGGGTTTCTTAGGCCATTGGTTTCTCCCAGATGGTCACTAATCCCCAGAAAATGCTTTCCCACCTGCTGCTGGACTTGCAAGGGTTGCAGGAGTGAAGAGAGATAGACGAGAATCTTGACTCCATGATCAGAAGGCTGGATTTATTATTTTATGATATATAATACATTAAGACTATACTAAAAGGAATAGAGAGAAAAGTCTCAGAAGCCTCTAAGCTAAGAATAGAAAAAGAATGAATCAACAAAGGAGCTCTCTCTGATTCTCCCAGGGAGAGCTCAGTCTCTGATTGGCCCTTAATTGTAAACATGGAACATGGGCCAATCACAGATGCACCTGTTGCATTCCACAGCAGCAGATAACCATTGTTTACATTCTCTTTCTGGGGCCTCAGCCTTCCAGAAGAGGGAAAAATCCTAAAGAAAGGATTTGTCACAAAAGATGTCTGTGACACCCACCTAAGTTGTTAATACCTAATTAACAACCCCCAACGGTGATATCTCTGTCTAGATACAAGTTTTCTATTCCCCCTTAAAGGCATTGAAGACCCCAATACTTTCCAATCAAGGCACACACTTTTCAAGAAGCACAGCAGCCTATCAGTTACACTCCAATTACTGGGAAATAAGATCCACGTGGAGTATACATATGTCAGATGAGATTTGTAAATCTGCAGAAAAGGCATTAGCCATTAAAAACCTCCTGATCCCAGGACTGCATATACATTTCAGATCCCTCTCTCAATGTCCCAGTGGAAGTTACAATGGAGACGATGACTGTCAGCTTTGGTAACCTTTCTTGGAATAAATGTTTTTTCAGGACTTCCTTCAGCTCAACCAAGCCAGGTAGCAAAGAGCAATCATGATGAAGTGGTTAATAAATTACCTTCTTTTCACTCCTGGTGGGAAACTCAAGTCTTACTTCCTGCATCCATGATAACAGTTAAAAAATACCAAATCCTTCTGGTTATTGCACACAGCACAGGTTTCACAGGATCTTTTTTAAGTCCTGTGGAGGGATGGGATATTTGGAGCCCCATTTTAGAGAGAAGGAGCTAAAGCAAATGGAGAGGAGCTAATCCTCCCTCCTTTTGCATGCTCTGGTCAAATAACCTGATATGGTTTTTAGAGCACATGGAAGGATGTAGGTGACCCCTCCACTACTCCTCATATGGGAGAGACACCATGTGCATCTCTGCCAGCAGGTTGTTAAGCTTTTCATCTGATGCCAGTTTCTCCAGACCTGCTTGTTAAATTTTTCTGTTTTAGGCAATTTCTCCATCACATTCTTCAGCAATGCCTACCTTATTACTGGCCTGCAAAAATGAATTACCACCTTCCCTTCCATGCTTTCCACAGTAGTTCAGCACAGTGGAAAGTGTGTTTGCATCCACAATTTATGGCAGAGCAACCTAAATTGTTCTTTCTAAGGTACTTCCTGTTTGGAACAAACATATTTAGATAAGGAGAGAGAGCCATCTCTCTGTCATTTGTTTCCTACAAATAATCTGAACTTAGTAAATTCTGGCCTGAATTTTGGAAGCACATCCATCTTTGGTTAATAACACGTCTCTTTATTGCCTTCTCTATTTCATTATTTCTTCTCCTCTTGAAATCTCTCTAAGAGGTGCAGGGCTGATGCTTGTTGTTCACAAGAGCTGCCTGCACCATGATCCCAGAACTGAGTGACTGGGAAAGGATGCAGAAACTGTTTCAGTCATGCTGCAAAATTACTTGTTCCAGATATTTCCTTCTGTAAACATGCTTTGAATTTTAGTAATTGTCTCAAAATTGGACAAGAGATAATTTCTCTCCAATAGTGACTAAATAGACACTTTTCCTATTTCTCCTTCCAGTATAGAAATGGGGATAAACACGCTAAAAGCATCCAACAAATTATTACAGCCAGCTTGACCCCTAATTGCTCTTGTGCTTTCCTGAAGGTAAAATAAGAAGCTCTTAAACTCTATGTTCAAGACCACAGCAACTTACCAGACAATCATCACACATACCAGAGAAAGAAGGGCCAGGAATCCCAGTGGATCCTATTAATCCTTTGGCATTACTATTTACCTCAGTTTAGCCCTTTTCCTGGTGGTTTTGTTTTGTATTGTTTAGTATTGTTTAGGGTGTTTTTCTGTTCAGCCCATGTGTCTGAACTAGTAGTATGCTTATTTTACCTAGCAGCTAGAATCACTCAGCGCCATACACCACATCACCTTCCACCAGCTCAGACCCACGTCCATGGTTCATACAGCGCTCTTGGAATGTTTCTCTGACTATAGCTTTAGTTAGCTTCACTTTGCTACCCACTCCCAATGGTCTGTACTGGGACTGCAGTTCCTGTGCATCTGTGCTTGTGGAAGTGGGTTGTGTCTGATGTTTTCAAGGTATTTTTCCCCAGACCTAAAGGCAGCATCATGTGGAATGGCAGAGGGATGGATGGAGGACAGCAGTTCTGCCATGGAAGCCTTGGACCGAGGGCTCTTGCCACTGGAGGTGACAGTTTGCCACCTGGAAGTTTCTTTTCCTTTCTCATGCTGTTGGCAAGAGCAACGGCTGTCTGTGATGGGAAGAGCAGCATTTCAACTGGCAGTGAGCAAAACCGAAGGCAGTAGCAGCTCTAGCAACTGTAATTTTGAGGGCAACACAGATGAACTTGAATACTAGAGTAAAGCTGAAATCTGAAGATATCCCTCTCTTTTTCCTCTCTTATTTCTCCCTCTCCCACCAGCCAGAGTGATCTGAGAATTTGTGCTAATTCATCAGCTGATTTAGCTCTTTGCTTGGAAATTTTGTTGTAGATGACAGAGGTCACCTTAAGTCAACAATCAGAGTCCCTGTGATAATAGCCTGAGGAT